CCTCAGGGTGTGGGATCGTCACAGGGTGCTGGGTGCTCACACAGGACAGTGTCCACTTGCTGTTTGGTAGAGTGCTTATGAGGCGGCAGCCATGCAGAGGTCCTCAGACCCTGTTAATTATGGTGCAAATAGGTTCCAGTGACAGCCAAGGGCTCCCATCACCAACCCCTACTGTAAGGCAACCTCTGGCAGCCACATTTCAAATCCCTTGTGACAACCCTGACCCCTTAGCCACAGACTGGAGCTGCCAACAGAGCTTACAACAGCTGGAAGTAAACAAATCAACCTGATAGAAGTGTTGAGGGTCAGTGAAGCGGATCACATATACCTTGACAGGAATCTGAATGAGGAAGTTTGAAGGACTGAGCATTAAACAGCAGAAACAGAAGCTTCAAGGCCACAGGACACCCTGAGAAAGCAAAGTCATAAGGAGATGGGAGTGCAGTTCCGAAAGACCAGGAAGTTTATGGGTAGTGGAAAGAGAAACCCAGAGAGCAGACAGGAGGGCAGTGCCCTGGTTGCTACAGTGTGTCCACAAGGCTGGACCAACTGCTATCCCTGGGTCCTCCTAAGGCTAGACTTGTGCAAGGTTCCCAATAATTCCATTATCATGTGACCCCTTGGAAATCCCCTTCTCCACATCTGGAGAAGTTCTTTATCAGGAACTTCACATTTACTACTTAGAGTTACATCTGAAGACACTTTGAAGTTTGAGGTTCCCTACCTAGAATCCAGAACAGAAAAACCCTGTGTCCACTCAATCCCTGAACCTCGAGACCCCTCCTGGGTGCTGACCTTTACCCGTACACAAAAATAGGAGATCTGGTCTCCAGGGTGAAGTTCCAGCACTCTTGCTTGGGTGCTCAGATTTTGCCTATGGGATGGGGATTTGGGCCTGCTCTCTTCAATTTGGGACACTGTGCCTTCAAACAGCCAAAGCTCTTTGGGGACCCCCAACTTTCAGTCCACCCCTCACAGCCACCGCTGGCTGTCAGCCATAGGGCTGCCCTCCAAGCCCTCTATGATTCCCAGTGGCTCAGCTGCCCTGGCAGCCCAATGCAGATGTACTGGTTCCTACCAACTTTACAAGGCTCCATTCAAGGCCCTGAGCTTGCAGAAGGCCTCACTGCCTACAGTCTCATCCACTGCAGTCATCTACAGGGAATGGTTTCCACTTCCCACTCCCCCCGCCCCGCAAATTTCTACTCATACTTATCCTGAGATGCTACAAATTTCAGGGAGTCCTGAGGTGCCCAGTCATTTCCTCTCTCCAATTCTACCCCTACCCTGTGTCTGTTTTGGTCTGTGAATTCCTACAGAATAGGGATAAAGCTGGACCAAGTGCAAGCTCAGCCAAGGTCTGAAACAGGTCAAGGGCTCAAGAGATCTGCGGGGATGGCGCCAGGTCCCTGGGAAACCGTGCTTCCCAATCCGGAGGCCTGCTTCTGATGGCTATACCCCTTCAGCAGCAGTGTCACTCACACACCAAGCGAGCACCCTGCAAGCTGCCATCCCATCTTCCCTGCACAAACCAGCCTAAAGACCAGGAAGTTCTTCCCGATCTCTGTGTTAAGTCCCCCACAGTGCAAGAAACCTGGAAGCTGGAAGGCACAGCACTAGCTTGGGCAGAAGCGTTGAGGTCCAGCCTCTGTGGGTGTGCCACAGGACCCCAGGACAGTTGTCTCTCTTCTGGGCTGGCTTCTTCCAACGAGGTGTGTATGTTACTACCTGTGCTACAACTCCCACTGTACTTTGTAATGACCCCTTCCCCAGGTTAAGGACCACTGGGACCAGACTCCAGCTAGCTTCACTCACTGGCCTCGAACCCCTCAGTCCCTCACCTTGGGCTGGGCACTTCATGCTGCCAGCACCAGCTGAGGGCTGCCCCACGAAGTGCTTATGGGAGCTTCTCAGCTAATTCAATCTGTTGGACAGCTGATAGGTTCAGCTAGCTACTAGTTCAGGTGCGATCCCAGTAGGAACCATGGACTCTCCTGGGCCAGACCTGGCTTGGGCTGAGTACCGCTGCAGGGTAAGTGTTGCTCATGGCAACCATGTACGGCACACTAATGGCCGCTGAAACCCTGTACTACCTGCTGTTCCCTAGCCAACAACAACTTTGAGCTACCCACTGCTCTCCTGAGTCTACTCTGACTTCTGCTCCAGATGTCTGGAGGTCCCAGCACACACTCTAGCCTTCTCTATCCCAGACAGAGCAATTTCCCCTGGCTGCCCCAGCCCAGTAATATCTCCACAGATTGCAGTATTAGGCTTCAATTAGAATTTCAAGTGTTGTACAGAGGAGTTATCATCCCCATTAGGGAAACATAGAATCCAGGGAGGCCCTGGCCAGAATCCAGGTCGGATTCCAAAGCCCAAACGAATATGCCCCTTAAAAAGGGCTTACTGGGTAACATCCCAAAGGCAGGGACTGGGGCAACTCAGACCCTACTGTCTGCTTTGAGAGCCTACCACTGTACTCTCCTGGTCTAGGTTCTGAGGGAAAATTCTCTTCATGTAGCTATGATCCCCATATTCTAGCACACAAGAATGGTTCCATTTTCTGGCTGTAAAGAATCAGATACTTAGGTTGGAATACAGAACCCTACTGCAGGTGGACATAAAACCCAATTTCCCAACCTTCTAAAAGCAAAGGCTCACAGGGTCAGACTCTGGAGACATTAAGCCAGATCTGAGACCTTTGCCAAGTCATTTGTCCATATGACTCCACTTTACAACCTGACAATTCTTAAAGAGTCAAAGTCTATGTAGGGACAGGTCAGAGAAACATATGCACTGTACCGAGTACTGGTAATGTGTCCTGGTACTGAGAGTGCCTTGAGAAACTGTAGTAGTCCAATGGGCCGCTACATTTGAAGAACCATCAATAGGACAACGCAGTCTGGGCCAACTCTGCCTTTCTGGGTTACTCTTGAATACGGACAGGTAAAACTATAGCTATTAGATTGTTTGCAGAATTCTCAAGAAAATTTTAAATCTCAATTATGGTTGGGTTGTTCTGCTGAAGGTCTAAGTAGATTCCAGTAGAATCTTTCCGTTTTGGTTTTAAACACATCTTTATCTCTGCAGTGCAGTACAAAGTGGTTGGACACAGGCGTCAGATTAGATGAGTGACCTTGGGACAATACTATACATCTCAGGATCACTGTGAGGGTCAATGCAACAAACACAAAATGCAGAAAGGCAGCACACTGTGCATGCACCAGTACCCTTCTGGATTTTCCACTCTAAGTTATCTTCAGGTCAAAGGTTTTTACTCAGTGCTTAGTGCACTGGAGTAAACAGAAGGGGTAATTGCAACACAGCCTGACAAGAAAAGCACTGAGCACTACGTTACACCCCTTTCCCTTCTCCAACCTTTAGACCTGTAGGTTCATCAATTTCAGAAAGTTCTTGTTTAGAAAGCAATCTCTTTTTCTTTCCTTATCAAGAGATTATAGAACTATATACTTGACGTCTCAATTCCCTAAAGCAAGCACCCATCAAGATTTCAAGGACTCTGGTTAAGGCAGATCTTTTCAGTTTGTAATTCGAGTTACAGAGCAAGAATACAAGACCTAAGGAAAGTCACTGACCCACAGTAATGAGCAGCATCCAGTTTTTGTGAGTGGGGCTGGCAACCACGGAAGGAAACATCCCAACACAAATCCAAAGCAGCAGCAACAAAACACGGCAGAGTTCAATGCTTCAATCTTATAAAATAAGAATCTAGATTAATTTTAATATTAAAACAGAGACAAAATATAATTTTAACATTGTTTTAATCAAGTAATGTAGCTGTTTGAAACAGGAAATTTTAAGACCATTGAATAGATCAAAGTGAAGGATTAATTAATTAAGGATAGCCTCTACGGATAAAACTATTATGTGGATTTGAATTCCACTGGAAGTTTGGCACCAGACTGAATACTAGTCTAAGCCAACATTTTCTCTTTAGTGTTTAGAAGCCCCAAACAGGTTTTCCTTCAGGTTAAAGAAAAACAAAAACAAAAACAACCAACCCCCCAACTGTAACATAACCCCATTAGCTTGACATTGAGTATGCTGAATGTAACTTGGCTTACTTAGGTCACCACTCTGCTTTAGAATTTCAGATGATGAAAGCAAATTGGCCTATGGCAAAGAATTTGAAACCTAAGCGAGATGTAAATTTGTAAAAATTTCATCTCTTTGGTGTGACAAAGCACATTCCCTCCAAGTAGGTGCTTCTGCTTCACTCATTAAAATCGATCAAAAGGCGGGGGACAGGGAAGGGATGGGGACCAATCTGTAGGTCTCCAGTTAAGACTACTTGATTTTTACCTCCTTGAAATATCAAGCTAACAAGGTTTTATTATATCAAATGTTTGTATAATTCCCATGTGAAAAATTCTTACATATGTTTTTATTTAGATCTTATTATAATGTGTGAAAATGGATCACAAAAGAAGAGGTGAATGATGTAAGCCAGGACTTCCAATAAAATTAACCCTTTGGGTTGTTGATTCCCAGTGTACTTTGTGGAAAGGAATAAATGCAACAAGATTTTCCCCTGAAGATGATTTCTCAGATATAGCCATAACCCATTATCAAGTGAGTTTAGATCAGCTAACTGAGCAAAGAATTCACCAGCAAGTTATTTCCAAATCTAAACCTCAGGATGGGCTGGGGTCAGGCCCCAATCACCTGCATTCAGCAGCCATCATGAGACTTCTTGGGTGTCTGGCTATAGTCAATGTGAAATAAAAAACACCTTAAGTCTTACACCAAAATACAGGCTTTAACTTGAAGTACGGTTTTAGCTTTTTTTTAAATAAGACATGGGGGCGGGGGGGGGGGGCAGCGGCGCAGAAATCAAGTCTGAGACAAAACAACTTATTTCGGCAAGATAGCAACCAAAACCTAAAAAGCATAAGCTGAGTATCCACATGTAAAAGGCATTAAAGAACAAACTATATTATCAGGAGAAAATCCACAATGAACAAAAAATACAGTATGCCTTTAACATTTTGAAACTGTAATTAAATCACAAGAATAAAAGTTGAAAAATGATGCTCAGTTTTTGCTAGAGATTAAGTGCACCTTTTCCTGCTTCCCCCAAATAAAATCATACCTTACTATATAATCACACCCTAGTTTCAGAATTTTCTCAGTCAGTACAAAGCAACAGCTACATACACATAAAATGCTTATTTGTTAATGTAATAATTCCCCTGGCTCATCCAACGTGCAATGCACATGACTCCAAAGACTACAATTTGGGGTAAGTATACACAAACTGAAAAAAACACAATTCAAGTTTCAAAACCTGCTCTTAAAATTATTTATAGGACACTCAAGTCATTTTTACTTCTCAATAAGATAAAGATGTTGCACTGCCATTTGATTATCAGTCCACCTCGGCATGGCAAGAATGTACATTACCAGATGCCAATTTGAGGGACTGAACACTCGAAAGTACTATATTTCTCAATGGCTGATTAAGATAATTACAAGTAAGCTTATGTTTACATTCTGCTGAGGACATCTTTACAGTCTCAGCATCTAACAAAATCTAACAGGCTCCAAGAATCCTATCAGGTTAATGATGGCGCGGTATTGTAAAAAGGAGCCATTTCAGCTTAAGTCATTCAGAGCCAAAATCTGAAGAATGACCAAAATCAAATCTTTATTTAACTGTATAAATGTGATCCAAATGTGTCCACCACTAATTTTTCAAAAAGAAACATGCTATAAATAAGCAAACTATATCTGCTCACTGATATGTGTATGGACTCCCTAGATGTCTTGTTGGGCTTAATTACAGACCACTCACAGCAATACATTTTTAGTAGAAAGTGTAGCATGATGTTAAGCCATTTTAGCTTTTGCACATACATGTTGCACTTCTGGCTGATGATGCAGAAAGATTCGCAGCATTACACTGTTAAGCTGGGCAGCACCCACCCCTTTAAATGGCATCAATATCAATGTCATCATCCTTGTTGTCAGACTTCACAGCTTCAACTTTAGGTACACTGGCAGTCTTCGAATACACCACCTGATAAAACAATTTTATTGATTGTAAATCTTTATCCAAACAAACTTAGTTTTAAAAATAGTAATACAAATCAATGGTCAACGAAAAAGGACTACCCAGACACAGCCATTTTTTTTTTTTTTTTGAGGAAGTGTGGGGGGGGATGCGGAAGAGCAGCAGAAGCAGAGAATCCCAAGTAGGCTTCATAGATTTCATGCAGGGCTTGACCTCAAAACCCTGAGATCATGGCTTGGGTGGAAATCAAGAGTTGGATGCTTAACCAACTAAAAGCCACCCAGGCGCCCTACACACTTTGCACAAAAAGTTTTTGTTATTTGAAAACTAAGTTCTCTCTCAGCCTGATAGCATCTTAATTTTTATGGACAACTAGCAACTGTATACTCAACCTGCCATTAATTAAATACTCCTTTGAGAATTTATATGTCTATTTGCAATCATGTCTAGGGGCAGGAGAGATGTCCCCTAACCTTTACATTAACATAATTTCCCAAATTGAGACCATGTTTTGCTGCATCTAAAAATTTTAAGTTACTTGATTATCATTTTATAACCCCAAACCCTAACACAGTTTACCTCGATATTCTCATCTTCATCATCTTCTTCACCACCAGAAGACTCCTCTTCTGCTTCCTTCAACCACTTTATAAATGGTTCTGCTTTGACACGAATCTCTTTGGCAAGATCTTTTGAGACATATTTCTTAGAGGCCTAAAAAATGTTCAATACAATTTCCTTAGTTTGAGAAATCTAAAAATTAATTTATATAACCGCCTACACTGAGCTCTTTGAAGGGACTGGGTCATATCCTAATCTTGACTCAACAAATACATTTATTCAGCAAACAACTAACAATGAGTCTGAAAAAATCTAAATACTTTCTTCCATTATTACTAGAAAGTTGCCTTAGTGGTAATCACTATAAGTTAATACCAGGGACTGCATTTCATGTAGAAGAAACTCAAGTATCAGAAGTTACTTCTTCCTAAATTGCCCCAAAACGGTCTCAATAAAACTTCTGATCTTCAAGAACCTGTTTCTATCTATCTAATTCCCCACCTTTTCTGACCAGCTGATGATGACTTCTTCTTCCAACAGATCTGCATCATACATCTCCTTCAAGATATGGGGAATCTTGGAAATGAGCTGAGCTTGATGCATTGCTACCACACACTCCAAACCATGAAGAAGGTACCGTTGAGCTTTTTTGTTGTTGTGACAAAACTGGAAATAAATGTGTTGGCATTAACAAGCTTTTAAAGAAGTTTCAAGTATACTCATTGTCTCAAGATCGTTCCTTAAGGCTGTGGCCTTAAGCAGTGGCTCAAAAAGTCAATACATAAAAATCTGTGTATTACTTTAACTATAAGGAACTATATACAGTATTTTCCAAATACTCCCGTGCTTGGTAAGGTTAGATCAATTATCTCCAGTTTTAGGATGACCAAGAACATGTTCCCAGGGTCATATAGCTCTAATCTCATTTATGAACCTAAAATAATTTGCTTACTCGTAGGAAATGGCGCCTGTATTTCTTAATTTGTTCTCTAATCTTCTCATTAAAAAGAACTTCAGTCAAAACAAGAGGACCCATGGCTTTTACATCCAGTCTTTCTGCTTCAGCAACAATTTCTTTGTCTGATGAGTCAATAATACCTTCTTCTTTCTTTTTCTGCAAATAAAAGGAACCAATTCAGTGAAATGGAGACACATTTTGCTCTTGAGATGCCAGTTAGTCCCCACTTTCATGGACTTTTTTCTTAATTTATTATAGTTTCAGGATTTTTCAATAAAAAGCACATGCCAAAGATAGTACCTGGAACCACCTCAGGAAGTATTTGAAAAAGTAAAATTAGCCTGGAGTTTGAGTATTCAAAAGATACCATGAGGAAAAGTTACACGCCAGGTAATCAGCATAAAGTAATAAACACCTTAACAAAAACCCAAGGCTTGAAACAGATCATCGAGAAAATATTTAAGTGCTCTTGAACCAAGTTATTTTACCTTAACAAAATCAAACAGAATATTGACCCGCTCTTCAACAGTCCTTTCCAAATCATCACTGAGTGTCAGAACTTTCGCGTGATCACTGATTTCATCCATTCTGCGTCTCTGCGCTTCCTCAGTTGTATCCTCCCCCCAATCATCATCCTCCTCTTCTTCCTGTCAAGAACCAAGTATGCTTAATGCCTTAAAAATGCAAAAAATACTAATTTCTAGTCATCTTAATGGCACCGGGTTAATTTTCCAAAAAAATAAATTGGACCTACATTAATTTAATCAACCACACATAACCAGGAACCAAGATACCACTGCAATGTTAAAACTGAGTTTCCTTATTTCTGCTCCCCTCCCCCACCAGGTATCGTATTTCACCCAGCTTAAGTGCTCACCACACCTTCACCCCAAACACTCACCGCAGCATGTGGAGGAGGACTGATCTCATTTGGTGGTGGGGGCGGGGGCGTCTCACTGCTGGACACAGAACCATTTTCCTTGTCTTTGCCCTTCCGGTTTTTCTTTTCCTTTTCTTTCTTCCCTGTACCACTATCACTATTCTCTACAGCAAAACAAAGAAAAAAGTTTAACACTATGTTTATAGTACACCTCACGAGAAACAGTGAGGAACCCTTGCCTCCTTTTGCTTTGGCACCTTCCCTCAGAAAACCTTACGTGAACACAATGCTACTTGTAATTCTAAGAGGAGTCACAGACCAAATTCATCCACTATCATTTCCTATATAAAAAAAACTCAGGTAAGGATAGAATGTCCACAAATAAAGATATTAACTGTTCGTTAAAATTAAGATGAAATGGTGGTATCTCGGAAAATGAGGTGGTTAGTGAAGGTTGGCACTCCTGGCCCTCTCATGCCCCATGAACACAAACAAGAGCACATCTCAACTGCACTTTAGCCCACAGCTGTTAACACTGTTTAAGTCTATATAACAGTTGCTCTCATGGAGGAGAACACTGGAATAGGTTAGACTTTATTGCTATAGCAAGCTCAAATTGTGTCAGGCAACTTCCATCATCTGCCACAGAGTGTTGCTTGCAATGTTCTAAAGCCATTTATTTGGGCTTAACGAGCCAGGACCCTGGTTCACAAAACAGTATTCCAGAAGTAGATCGTTTGCTGGGATCCCACCACCATTTTTAAAAAAAGATTTGAGAGAGAAAGAGAGTGAGCATGCTGCACGGAGAGGGAGAAGCAGACTCCCCCCTGAGCAGGGCTTGATCCCAGGATTCTGGGATCATGACCCCAGCCGGAAGCAGTCGCTCAACTGACCAAGCCACCCAGGTGCCCGTTTTACAATATCCATTTCACCTATTCTAAAAGGACAGGTCCTAAAAATCGACGACAGAGCAGAGCTTAAGTGGCAGCCTGTTCTTTTACCCTTAACGGTACATCTTTCGTAATCACAGATTCAGGAGAACAAGGCAAAAGAATTGGATATTCCTTATATCCTAGTTTCACAGCAGCAAAAAACCTTCCATTTTGTTTCCAACAATTAGCTGATTACATTAAGATCTTACAAGTTCATCATAAAGACTTACCAGGTGGGTTTTTGAGAATGAACGTGCAGAGTTTATGATGTGTGTCAAGCATGCCTCGATAGCCACAGGCTTTACAAGAATTACCTATTGTTTGCTTCTTTGGATTGACATGCTGCCAAAAAAAAGGGAAGTAAAAACAAGTATGTCATCTATGGCCTATAATAAAATTTTGCAAAGAACAAAAGTTAAAGTCTCTAACCGTAACTCCACCTTAATGTGTAAGAGTATTTTTTCACAAAATGACCTAAAGACAGTTTCACAAAATGATCTAACTTAAAGATTTTGCTGCTTTACATTTTATTTCCAATTAAGTTTGCTCTGCCTTGTCAGGAACATACATTTCATGATATCACAAAAGCAGATATGTAGTTTTTCCTCAAAAAGACTCACCAGCTCTGTTTCAGGATTCTCACACTCAGGACAGAGAACAAATTTTTTAATGAATCCATCCAACATGTCTTGCAGCTTATTCGCCTCATGAGATCCATTGACAATGTAACGGTCATTCTTAACATCAAACTGGGTCTGTGCTCCCAGCTCACAACCAAAATATTTGGTGGGATCTATGGGGGGGGGGGAGGGGAGAAGGGAAAGATTAACTAAATCTTTGGCTACTCATTCACCCTTATACAAACATCCCTCCCTTACACTTTTATACTGGGTTGAAATGTATTGCTTGAGTAGTTTTGTTTAGCCAATAGCAACTAATAATCAATTGGTTTTCAAGCACAAGATTCCATTAACCCTGAAACTAGCATACAACTCAATCAAAACACACAGATCAAAGTTGTCACAACCATATTGATGCTATGCTTTTTCAGACTCCTTAAGAAGCATTACTTACACGTTGGAGGCCGATTAAGCGCCTTTGCAACGTCAACCATGTTGACTATAACTGTCTTGATACCATTTCCTTTGCCCTCAACCTAAAGAAAAAAATAATTCTGCATTAGCTACCCCAGGAGATGCAATCTTCAAAAATCTAGGAAAAGAGCTTAGGCCTCAAAACTAAAACGGAGATCAGTATTACCTTGGCAATCAGACGGGGCATCTTGTAGCGATAGAACTGGTCTGACACACTGCGGTTGACATTGACAGACATTTTGGCTTATTAGTGGCTTTATCAATAAGATGAAGAGATCTTTGATTGCAACTTTTTGGTATCTTCTGTCTGGAGAAGAAGGGATGACATAAACGACTGCAAGAGTTCTCGGTCTCTGACATGAAAAAATTTTCGCCACTGAGGCTGTAAGCTTCTTGCTTGTATGCTATGTTTCCCCAATACAGGTACCAATGGCTGCGCAACAGCTCTGAAAGAGAAAGGAAGAGCACACACCCCCCCCCTCCGTTTAGCGTGATTCCCGCAGGAGAAAGCCTCCCTTCACCTCCCGGTTAAGCGTGCCTCCTCCGGCTACATCGCGAAGCTTCCCAGTTCCCGGGAGGGGCGGCCAACATCCCCCTCTAACACGGAACACCTGTCGCCACACAGAAGGCCTCCAGCCGGGAGCCGCCAGGCTTCCCGCAACAAACTGCACCGCCTCAGCCGCGCTGGGTTTACACCGGAGCCAACACCAGCAGCCCGTCCAAGGTCTGCTCCGGTGGAGCGGCCATCTTTCAGCTGCGGGCGGACGCATCGCCTCTCCTCCGCAGACTAGGCCTCGGCGATGGAAGGACTTCCCCGACTCGGCCTCCACCCCCCTCCGGCCCTGCCAGCCTCCCCGCTCACTCGGGCGGCCCTGGACCGCTCGTTCAGCACCCGGGGCTCATTCGAAGAGACCCTGCCCCCCCACCCCAGGACACGCGGGCTCGCGGGACCGTGCGCGGACAGCGAGGCGACGACCGAGCACGGCCGCCGCCGCTCCTCCCCGTCCCCGCTCCGCGCACACACAGTCCACGTCCGCTCCGGCGCCCATGGCCCCCGGCCGCTCCGCTCGGGGCAGGGACCCCGCCACGCGCGCCGCGGGGAACGACAGCGGCCGAGGGGCGCCGGCCCGGGCCGCCCCCGCCCCCGGCGGGCGATGACTCATGAATGCAGCAGAGAGGCCTGAGTCAGCCCGCGCGGCGGGGGAGGGGCCGGGGCCGGGGCCCGGCGGGGGGAGGGGGCCGGGGCGGAAGAGTTGGGACGGGAGAGGCGGGGGCCGGGGCCCGGGGCCCGGGGCGGAGGGCAGGGCGGCGGGGGCTCGGGGCCCGCCCGCCCGAACTGCGCCACACGCGCGCGCGGGTCACGCGGCGCGCCGCCATCTTGTGCGGCCGCCATCTCCCCGCCGGCCCGCCCGCGGACTCACCGTTTTCGTCAAATAAAGACATAAACCCAACGCTGCTCGCCCGGGACTGGGATGAAGTGAGGCGCGCGTGAACCCGAGTCCGAGGAGGGGCGGCGGAGGCGGCGGAGGCGGCGGAGCAGCGCAGCGAGCAGCGGCCGGGCCAGGCGCCGCCGAGCAGCGGGGAGGGGCTGTCCCAGCGACGTCCGGGGTCCACACCCTTCAGCGCCCGGGGCCTGGCGACCTGGCGCGGAGAGACGGCGCCGTGAGCCGCGGGCGTCGGGGCGCCTTCCCCGCCAGCCAGCGGCCCGCGGGGGTCGAGGGGGCGGGGAGGACTGGGGAGGGGGCGCGGGGCCGCCGCCCCTCCACCGGACTCACCTCTGGAATGTTCTCGCTCTGACTGAACAACGCCGCCGCCGCGCTCAAGCTACCCTTGGCCCCAGTGCCCGCCCCCCGCGCCAGGCAGCATCGTTCATTGGCCCGAGGCGCGCCCGAGCTTGCTCGTAATTGGCCCACATGTCACGTCAATCGCATCTTTCTCCGCCCCTCCCGCTTCCTGAGGCTCCTCTCGCCGCCTCAGCCCGCCCCCAGGCCCCGGGTCCTGGGTTCGTTCCCCTGCCCTCCCCTCCCCCGCCCTTCCCAGAGGTCTTCGCGGTCTCGCGAGAGCCGACTGGCCGCGACAGGGGGCTGGCTGCGCGGCCACGCTTTGTCGGTTTGAGCGCCGGGGGAAGATGGCGGTTGGCTCCCCTCCCCCGTCGCCTTGGCCAGGCCGCGTTCCCGCCGAGCTCCCCTCGCGGCGGGGGCGCAGCCTCGCCCGGGGGCGGGGCGGGGAGGTCCTCTCTGCCTTTTCCGGGCCCTGGGGACTCCTGTGGTCGGGCTTCGAGGAGGAAGTTGGTCTTCCTCCCCGCCGCCTAGGCCTGGGCCGACTGCGATGATTGGAGGGCTGGGTCTTTCGTCCCAGGGGCTGTTTTTTAACCTCCGAAGCTGGGGTCCGGGTGTCACTTTGACAGCGTCGTCGTGCGGCGTCCCCGGCCCGCCGGCCTGGCTCTCTCTCGGGCACCGGGCCTGCAGGCCTGGCGGGGCTTGGCACTCCTGTGCACCGCCTTCTAAGGAGGGAAACCCCAAATTAGCCCGTGACTCCAGGACCCTCCTGAAAGCGTGCTCTGCTGTAACGTTGCTCAAAACAAACGTCCCATTGGGTTACCATTCCCGGAACCCACCACTCCCTTGTGGCTTCCTTGCTGGGCAAAGCATAGCCCGGAGCAGCTGTTCCTAATGAGGTTCCAGTGCCGTCCCTCGGAAGTGACTATTTAGAAAGAGCCTCTGATGCTTTCGTTCTGTTGAGGTGATCACAGAAACTCTCCCATTCTTTCGGAAACATATTTGGTTTAAAAGTTTGAATTGCGGGCGCCTGGGTGGCTCAGTCGTTAAGCGTCTGCCTTCGGCTCAGGTCATGGTCCCAGGGTCCTGGGATCGAGCCCCGCATCGGGCTCCCTGCTCGGCGGGAAGCCTGCTTCTCCCTTTCCCTCTGCCGCTCCCCCTGCTTGTGTTCCCTCTCTCGCTGTGTCTCTCTCTGTCAAATAAATAAAATCTTAAAAAAAAAAAAATCGGACTTTCTTGCTGTAATACAGTATGTTCAGTGTTCAGGGAATAAGTGCTCTTCATTATTTAGATTTACTTTGCTCTCCAGCTCTTTAGATTGTCTTCACATTTTATGAATTAAATGAAAATGTTTTAAATGGTATTATTCTGTTCTGGTTTAAATTTGGCCAAAATTGGGGCGCCTGGGTGGCTCAGTCGTTAAGCGTCTGCCTTCGGCTCAGGTCATGATCCCGGGGTCCCGCATCGGGCTCCCTGCTCGGCGGGAAGCCTGCTTCTCCCTCTCCCACTCCCCCTGCTTGTGTTCCTGCTCTCGCTCTCGCTCTCTCTCTCTGTCAAATAAATAAAATCTTTAAAAAAAAAAGTTTGAATTGCGACTGTAAAAGCGCTTCCAGAGTGCACCATGAAATTTGAAAACATAGTTGGCTGTAGTAAAACCAAGAGCCAAATAAAGGAGCCATTGGTTCTAACCTGCTCTCTGCGGTCTCTAATGAGCTCTCAGGGTGAAGTGTCCCAGGCAGCAGCGTGGTTTTCCCAGGCTGGATAAAGTAGCATGCTGGTGAGGACAGGATGAAGTGGGTAAGGGGCTGCCCAATCGAATATGCAAGAAAGTTGGAATTGAAAGGTATGTTGATTTTTATCAAAGTTCAGGATACTCTTCCATGATTTACAAGCTTTATAAACCATTTAAAAATTGACAGTGTGGGTGGGGAAGTTAATAAATTAAAGGGGCGATCCAGAATTGAGGGAAGTAATTTATGTCTTTGCTGTAGGAGCTGATATTATCATCACACAGTGTATATGGTGCTGTATGATTCGTAGACCAAGTGCATAATGCTTTATGGGTACCAGGATTCCCATCAGATCAACGGAAAAGGTAGATCCTAGACAAGCTGTTTTTGGCTCACCATGAAGCATGACCTAGCAGTATGGAAACACTGGAGTTTTTGCCCACAAATGACATTATTTTAGAAACTCTGTTGGAAAATAATGGGTATGAAACTAGTCTGAGGTAAGAGGCTTGCCTTGTCAGAATTGGTTTTTAATAAAGCTAAATACAATGTGAGTTATTATTTTGGGGCAGGTAGGTTTGATGGCCCCATATTTAATTTCATTTAAAAAGTTTGTACTGGGGCTCCTGGGTGGCTCGGTCGTTAAGCGCCTGCCTTCAGCTCAGGTCATGATCAAGTCCCACATCGAGCCCCGGCATCGGCATCGGGCTCCCTGCTCAGCGGGAAGCCTGCTTCTCCCTCTCTCGCTCCTCTCGCTTGTGTTCTTCTCTTGCTGTGTCTCTTTCTGTCAAATAAATAAAATCTTAAAAAAAAATAAAATGAAAAGTTTGTACTAATTTTAACTTTAATTTTTAGCAGGTGTACCACTCATTTGTGTCTAATGAGGGGCAATTTTTAAAAAATTATTCTTAACCCTACTGTTTATTGAATGATTCTCATAGCGTAGGAATTTGCTAAGTGCTTTGAATACACTGTCTTATTCACTTCCTAGCCCCTATGGAGAATTTTTATTCCTATTTTACAAATAAGCAAACTGAGGCTTAGTGGAAAAAATTAAGCAACTTGCCCAAGATCACATGCTAGTAAGTGGCAGAGCTGGAATTTAAACCGAGATCTTTCTGACCCCCGAGTCTGTTCCCTTAACCATTACATGACCCAGCGTTCAGAGGTAAATATAAACATACATAAATCTAGGCAATTTTCAGGTGTAATCCCATTTAATCCTTTAACGATCATGTGAGGGAGTGTTGTTAGTCCCGTTCTACAGGTGAGGACAGAGTCAGGAAGATTAATTTTCTCGAAGTCACCTGTCTAATAAATGGTGAACCATGTTTGAACTCTAGCTTGACGCCAGGCTCATTGCACAATTCTGCCTCCTACTTCTGGCTCCCTGCCACATTTAGCTGCAGTTCCCCCAATTATGTGCTCACAGTTTGCTAAGTAATGGGCACTTGGTGCCTCTGAAATTGTTGTCAAATGAGTGCCTGAAATGCATTTCAGCACCTGCCTTCCTTGGATGGCAGGCATGGATAGCTGCTGAAAAGGTAAGTTAGTAAATTGGCCTTACGGTTATTTAGATATTGGTGTCTGTTCTGTTTAGCATGAATTTGCCCCCTCGAGCAAGATCAAGTCTGCGTGGACTGAAAGAACCTTGTGTTTCTGAGCTGTGGGCCACTGAGGGACCAGGACATTGCCCTCTGTGATGGGCTGTCTGGTTGGACAGCTGGCCTCTATGACGTCCCTCTCTTAGCTATCTCTAACCTCCAGCACACTATGAAAGCTGCACACTCTTAGTTAAAGTTTCTGACTCCCCGGCTTGAGGTTGAGTTATAGGGGATGTGTGTAGTTTTTCTTCCAGCACTGGCCTGTCACAGCGGTGTGCATAGAGCAGACATCCAGAGCTGCTGGGAGGGAACTGAAGGTTATCTGGTGAGTACAGAGGCAGTCAAAGGCATTGGCTATGTTGAAAGCCCGTGTCCTAAGCCATGGTAATCTAATGCACCCATATCGAACATTTCTGAGTTGCTGGGATACAGGCCCCACCCACACTGCAGGCCCTACGCAGGGCCCATATGTAAACAAATAGCATCTATCTGCCTGGTGGACACCAAATGAAGCTTGTCCCCGTCCTGAAATCTCTGACCCTCTGGGCAGAATGTCTCCCTGCCTCTGTGACAGGCCCATCCCACCCACCCAATACTTCCACCACACCTCTGGCATTCGGTGGCACTTTATTGAATTTGCCTGTTTACTTGTCTGCCTTCCTCATTAGGCTAAACAACTTGTGGGCAGGGGACCTGTCCTTGAGGAGAGTAGAGAGTCAGCTACAAAAGGGACAGAGTCAGGAAGCAGAGATGTCTGTGAGGAAGAGATGAAGCATCCAGTGAGGAATCGCTGGAGACTGACGGAATGTCTTCCTGCTCCCAAGCATTTGACTCCAATCAGACTCTATATTATGTCATTCCTGGAAAAAGAGAAGAAAGTGCAAAATTGTATCAACTCAGTAGATGGAGAAATGTGGATGACCTGGCTTGCCTCAGGTCCTGTCTTTAGGGAAGCAAGGTGGATGGCTGCTGAGCTGGTCCCTCACCCGCTTGAGGCTCGTGGCAGTAGGAAAGGCATTTGCTCAGACTGAGTGCACTGCTTTGGGAATGCACCATGTGTGCAGTAGAAGGTCTGGAAGAGGCCCAGGTGTGGCATGCAGCTGGTTCTCTTGCCTAAGACCCTGTGATTCCCGAGGATTCCTGACAGCCATTTGCCGACCTTTGTGAGAGAGCATCTTTGCGTGTTCCCACCTCTGCCTTTCGTTGTGGATCTGGCACATTTTATCCACCCAGGTGAAGCAGCCACATGCCAGCCAGTGAGCTCACTAATTGCTGATGAGCTGTGGGTCGTGGCCTTGCAGTGAAGCACTAGACAGACCCACAGGACCCAGAAGCACAGCTTGTTACATGCTCGGCAGAGTCAGCTGTTACTTTGGGTAGTGTTGCTATCTAGACCTAATTTTTTTTTTTAAAGATTTTATTTATTTATTCATGAGAGGCAGAGAGAGAGAGGCAGAGGGAGAAGCAGGCTTCCCGCCGAGCAGGGAGCCTGATGCGGGGCTCGATCCCAGGACCCTGGGATCATGACCTGAGCCGAAGGCAGACACTTAACCATCTGAGCCACCCAGGCGCCCCTCTAGACCTAATTTTTTAAAAAAGATTTTATTTATTTATTTGAGAGAAAGAGAAAGAGATCATGAGCTGGGGGGTTGGGGGCAGAGGGACAAGTAGATTCCCCGCTGAGCAGGGAGCCTGACGTGGGGCTCGGTCCCAGGACCCTGAGATCACGACCTGAGCCGGAGGCAAATGTTTAACCGAATGAGCCACCCAAGAACCCCACGACCTAATTTTTGAGTACAAATTATCTATGCTACA